GTTGATTGTGACAAGATGGTAAGATGCAGTGTTATTGAGAGAATGCAGATACTGACTGGTCTGGTTAGCAACCCAATCACATACAAAAATAAAAAATGTTACGGATTTATGCAGATTGAGGAGATTTGAATAAGGCTACCAAATGCAATATAGCCCAAGGGAGTGCTGGGGAAAGACATGTCTAGACTTCCAACATCAAGGATATTTCCAGATCTAGATGCAAGCCTGTGATTTTCACAACACCAGTTTGATAAAATTTTAAACTCTACACCTTCACATCTCTTTTTGCTGGTACATTTTTAAGTAGTTTTGCTCTGTGATTGTTTCAGAACTCAAAAAGTGACGCTCCACAGAATTTTAAATCCTTTAAAAAACAGATGGAAGCAGCTATTTAAAACCTCTCGAGTTAATGTGATAATCATCAGCACTGTAAAAATAATAGCTGATATGTAGTTCAGCAGGTCTGGTTATCAGAAGCATTTTTCTTTGTATAGGCCTTTTATTGGTTTCCTTCTTTTTTTTTTCTTCCACAAGAAAAAGGGAAGAACAACTGTGTCAGCAATAAGCTCTACGTCAAATAGATTCCAGGTTTAGATTCCTGTCTGATATAGGCAAAGGGCTTGAACTTAGAGGTAGAGCTTCATGACATGTTGCCTTCAGGAGTGAGACCAACATCTGAAGTTCCTCTGTATCGCTGCTTTTCCCCAATGCCACTTGATGGTCCTTTTTACTCAATTAGCTGGTGCATTCACTCACCTGCGTGAAAACAACCCCTTTCATATGCCCACAGGGACTAGTTTTAAACATTCTTCTTCACCATGTTTCTAGTATGTCCCCACAAAAAGTCTGTAGTGTCCCAAATGAGAGAGTGGCAGGCAGTGACAGAAAAGGGAAATGTGGTAGATGATGCCTGGATATTCTTAAACAAGATTTTGCTTCTGAAGTCCCTATGTTGTGACACTGCGTTCTAAGTCTCTCGCACATCACATGACAACTGCACTTATAATTGGTTTCTGGACTGAGCCTCCTTTTGGACCAATAATTATTGAGTTATTTGAAAGAATTTTTCAAGTATCATTATGTGTAGAACTGGAGCAATTTCAAAGAAACCTTTTGCAGAACTGTAAATATTCTGCTTATCAAGCAATTCACCTGCTATGAAAGAAAATCACAGGGAGTTAAGATTTTACATTTCCTGCAGGAGTGTGCTCTCTAGGGAGGTTTTTAGCAATAAGATACTGACTGAGAAGGGTTTTTTTCTCTGATTTTAACCAGAAATTGCACACTCAACCCAAGAAATCTTTCCCTCAAAAATTACTGGATTACTAATGAGTGTCAAAAAAGGATTCTGGTAATTCCTGCATAATTCTGAGAAGGACATGATGACATGAACATAAACAACTAATGACTCATCCAAAACATAGGAAACAATTCTGAAAACATAAGTACATTTTTAAAGCACACTAAAGACTTTCTTAAAACAGTTGAGCTTTCAAGAGCTTCTAAGTATAAAAATCACAGCAGCAGCAAGGTTTGAAGTAATCATGAGTCAAGTAATACTATTTCTGAGTAATGAGAATGATGCACCAAAATGATGCCAACTTGTAAGTGATTGAAAGAGTAATTCTGTATGGATAGTTAACAGGGAAAGCCCAGAAGTATCCAAAAACAATTTTTTGTGGGATCTATCCATGTGAAGTTGCTCCACATATTGGAAGGTGGTATAAAAAAACTCAAAAATCATAATGCAACACAGCATGAGAGCAGAAATGTTAAACAGAACCCAGAAGGGTCTATCCGGGTTTCGAAACATAAAACACTATATAGAATGTCATATAAATACCATTACAGAAAATAAAAATAGAATCTGCAACAAATATGGGAAAAGATGCAGAAGAATTGTTATTCCTTGTGAACCTGCTGCACAATAATGGAATAATTAATTAAGCTGGTAACTGTGATCTTCATTTCTTCAGGGGATAAGGGTATTATATGAAGAACTGGATTTTACTTTTTGCCTCTCTCTAAACTCAGCAGCTAGATCTCTTTTAAAAGACCAAAGAATAAAGGTGAATAGATTTTTACTTGAAAGTGAGTTGTTGCCCACCCTAAATTCCCAGAGTTGATGTTTCTGGCACTTGCAGTAGGAGTGTTGGCCAAATCATTCCTTCCAAGCAGAGCCCAGTTTTGCCTTGGCAGAAGCACCATATGGCAATGGGTGCCTTTGAGATATAAAGCCTCTTCAAGCACCACTGAAGTGCTGCCATTGCCCCTCTCCTTATAAGGGGGTGTAGCATATGCTCTCCTGACTAGCTGATTAGCACTACTTAGAGCTAAATAGCAGGAGGATCAGGTTTTACCCTTCCCTGTGTCTTTAGGATGGTGTATCCCACAGAGGAAGGCAAAAAGCGAGTGGTTTCTCACATGAAGGATGGAAAAAGTCTCATCTCTCCTCAAATAATGCTGTATCATATCTCTCAGATGCAATCTTGGATAAATCAGTATTCATTGTATTTAATCCACACATTTTTCTGAGGAAAATATATATTGACTGGGGACGTGATTTGCTTGTTTGATTGACATAAAATAGTCTGGAGTGTTATACATTCATCATACATGAGAAAGACAGACTTTTAGCTTTGTATTATCTTTTCCTTATAAGAAAAAAATTATCTGTGCCTTCTTTATGCAACTAGAAGTAAATTGAGTGTAACAACATCATTGTAAAATGATGTGCTTTATAAAGTCCTGAATATGGTGCATCTTTTGTGTTTTGTTTCTAATTGTTTGCTCAATACAAAAGGATAATTCATTAGGCCAATTCTCCAAATAATCTCAAAGTGACATGAATTCCTTTGCAGAGTGAATGTCTGTAGCAAGTAATCCATGGAAAACAGACAGGCGTCTCTTGTCATTTTGGAGCTCTAATCCACTGCCTGGAGCATGAAAATGCTCAGGATAACAAGTGTGGGAATGACCAAAATCAACATTATTTTTTTATTTTCTTTTCTTAACAATGCTGCTGATCAATAGAATTGCTGAATCTGGAAGATACAATGCCACGGGATTAATGAATTAAGCTCAGGAAGCAGAAGAATCTGTTAAAAAGGAGAGGGGGGAAAAGCCCCTTCTTTTCCACTGGTGTGTGAATATTAAGCAATGAAAGCAGCAATGACAGAACTTTAGCCCTTGCTTTACCATAGCATCAAGCCTTGTTCTGCATGAGCCTTTACATTTTAATTAGAACCATACTGACACCCGCTTTTTCAACGATGAACTTCAGTTTTAAACTTAAAACCATTTCCCAAATGCTGGTTTAGTAGCTAGGTCTGAACACAGAAAAGAGATGCTGTGTTCTGTAAAATTCACTGTAGTGTGGTCACCATCAGTAGGACTAGATAACTGGTTTTCAAACCACAGTAAATAATGATAAAAGGAAGGAAGAGACTCTCACAGAAATGCCATAGCCTCTGTCACCACAAAGTACTCACATACTCTGTTTTCTGGAAAACCATAGAATGAAATGGAGGTCATCACACTTCCTTTGATGATGCCAATGTTTTATAAAGGTCGATTGCCAGCGTTTTGTCAATACAGCATTAGGAGTGTAATACAGGGCACATATCTGTGTAAGACATTACATTCCAAAAGGCACATTACATTGATATTCAGCACAGCATGGAAATTTTAATACACTATCATTCATTGGAAGGGGGTTGTTTGAATGTGTGGGAGGAGAGAGCTTAAGTTTGCTTATATGTTTATATTTACAGCTCCTTAAAGACCTCTGGGGATTTTGTGTATCCTATTGTTTAAACAAACAAACAAAAATCACTATCTAGTTTCATTGTCTAAAAATATATTACAATAATCACAGTCCTAGAAATCGGGAGGTTTGGAACATTTTCAACTCATAAGAACACTTCAGAGAATACGCCGGTGTAATTTATGAGCCCCTCTAGACCTGTCCATGTCTTGAACTGATTGCTGAAGTGGGCTTTACTAGGAATTTCTTTTCCTGAATTGGAGTAGTGCAGGAGGTGGGGAGGACGGGAGGGGTTAGAGCAACCTTCCCTAACAAGGCTTTAAAAGCTTCAGTTGTAAAGTTATGCTGATGGAGAGACTTTGTTACTTGTTTTTTAACTGGGAACAACCCGAAGAGGATTACGCTACGGGCAGGAGCTGTTAGTTATGTGGGTAGCAACGTTGTGGGTTGTGTTGCGCTGTTGCTTTTAAAGGGGGGACGCGCATCTTTGGATTAGACCCGTAAATGAAATTTTAAAAGAAAAAATAAAACAAACAAACAAAACCGCAAACCAAGCAAAAAAAACCAAACCCAACAACCTGGACAATGACACGAAACAGCTGGTGAAACGTCTAGCTCCGTGCCTTTCCCCAAGCTCGGTGGAGGTTTCTGTTCTCTCATCTCTGCCGCGATGTGTTCCTTTTTTTTTTTTCTTTTCTTTTTTTTTTTTTT